TAGAAAGATAATACATACATAATTAAAACATAACACGCTTTGGAGATGGGGAAAAGCTAATGATAACCCTAGGGAGAGACTCATGCTGGTGGGGCAGGGCAGGGGGCTAGGAGTTTCTTTAAACTTTGTTTTTAATGTTTATTGATTTTTGGTAGAGCATGAACGGGGAGGGGCAGAGAGAAGTGGGGACAGAGGATCCGAAGTGGCTTCAACGCTGATAGCAGTGAGCCCGATGCGGGGCTCGAACGCAGGAACCCCAAGACCATGACCTGAGGTGAAGTCATACACTCAACTCACTGAGCCACCCACGTGCCCCCAGGGACTAGCAATTTTACATATCGGTGAGGGAATACACCGCTGAAGGGATCATATGTGAGCAAAGACAGAAGGAGTTGAGAGAGGGTTCACGCAGATAGCAGTGGGAAGGGTGTCCCAAAGCAGAAGAAACAGCAAGTGAAGAGAAAACATGTTTGAGGAGCAGCTAGAAATCCCTTATGGGCAGAGCTGAGTAACTGTACTGAAAGGTGTCATCAGAGGGGTACGGGGCCAGGACAGGTAGAACCTTGTATGTCACTGTGAGGATTTTGGCTTTTACTCTTTTTATTTTAACTATTTACTTTGAGTGAATGATTGAGAGAGAACAAGTGGGGAAGGGGCAGAGAGAGCGGGAGAGAGAGAATCCCCAGCAGGCTCCGTGCTGTCGGCGTAGATCCCGATGTGGGGCTCGATCCCACAAATCATGAGATCACGACCGGGGCTGAGATCAAGAGGTGGATGCTTAACCAACTGAGGCCACCCAGGCGCCCTGGCTTTTACCCTTAACCGATCTTTCTGGTCCATATACAACGTCTGTCTCAGTGAGGCACAACTCCACAAAGCCACCTAGAAAGCATGTTTGCCCCCTCCTTTAACAACCTGCACTTAAGAGCTCAGATGGAGTCTTTGATGAATTTTACACCCATTCCAATTAGCCGTGTTCACCATAAAAATGGCAAGACAGCTGTTCATTGACCTTGCATTACAATGTTCACATACATTATTCTCCAGGTATCCTAGCATCTCTTTTCACATTTAAAAAAATTTTTTTTCAACGTTTATTTATTTTTGGGACAGAGAGAGACAGAGCATGAATGGGGGAGGGGCAGAGAGAGAGGGAGACACAGAATCGGAAACAGGCTCCAGGCTCTGAGCCATCAGCCCAGAGCCTGACGCGGGGCTCGAACTCACGGACCGCGAGATCGTGACCTGGCTGAAGTCAGACGCTTAACCGACTGCGCCACCCAGGCGCCCCTCTTTTCACATTTAATTAATGCCGGACTTCGACATTTCTGACATGGGGATTATTTTCATTCAAGTTTCTAGCAACTTTATTGTATTTCCACTGCGTGAGCTTTGGCGTTTACCTCTGAATGTGACAGAAAGCCATTGGTTAAGTTTTCAGACATGCGGGGCCATGATCTAACAGTGTATGAAGTCTCACCCTGGCTGCTGTTTTGAGCCTAAAGTGAACGGAGAAATGGCTGGACCAGAAGCACAA